CACTCGTCAGAGATAAATGAAGCCGATCCTTTGACCAATTGTCTGCTAAACAATCGTGGTATCTCTGCTTCCGCCCTGGGATAATCACCAATCCTATATCCTCATATCACGCCTTTACTAGCACGATTTTTTACTTGTTTATTTAAATGTGGTATGGCGTGCTCTTTTGAGCGGCTTTCATGACAACTCTTCACACTCTACGCTAGCTTTCTCACCCCCTTCACCCTTGTGTTGGGAATGTTGATCAGAGGCTGCTGTCATCCTTCCCTAGATCTTATCAAAGCATGTAGTGCTACAGCATTTGAGGGTTAGCACATAAGAGACTAGGACATAGGAAGTGATAGACTTGGTATTAAGGTTTAGAAACAGGATAGACGCAGCTTATACTCGAGCTAGTTGGCTGAAAGTAGACCTGTTTTTACCATACACTTGGTCCATGTAGCAAAGGCTTGACCATGATAATTACTCATAAGCTTTAGCCTCGAGTTAGTCACCCAGACGCAGGGCGTAAGAAATTACGCCTCGAGTAGCACAGATGAGGTAGCAGGGGTCGAGTGAATACTTGAACCAGGGAGATAGCAGACGAATCCTACGGGACAAGTAAGAGACTGATAAGACCTAGGGGAGGAGGACTGCGTAACAATATAACAGACTCTTATCCCCACTCTCGGCACAAGGATGTAAGTGGATGAGAAAGCCACCGTGGGGTGTGGAGAGTTCTCATGACATCCGCTCAAAAGGACACATCATATCACATTTTAAATAAGCAAGTAAAAGATTTTGTTAGTGAAAGGACGATTGAGGTTATAGGATTAGTGATTAGCCTAGGGGGGAAGGAGAGACACCACGATTGTTTAGCAGACAATTGGTGGAAGGATCGGCTTCACTTGTCTCTTTGAAGAGTTTTAATGTGGTGCTAAGACTACCAATGCTTACTGACGATGCCGGTGAAATGTCTGGGAATGTACCACGTCAACGGTCCGACTGGAAATTATCATGCATACAACGTACTCTGTCTAAGTGCGTTCCTCTAAGTCTTCCTGCCAATATGACCAAGTTGTGAAAATAAGGTCAAACAACTTCTATAATCTATTAGCTTTAATATCCGCACCAAAAATCTGCAATTGTTTCCTCATGACGAAATAATTTTAAACTTCACAACCTCGCATTTACCAACTTTGCGCATTTTTTTTTCTTCAAAAATAATATATCATACTCCTCGTTACTTTTTCCCTATTCTCAAGGTCGACTGTATTTACGACTGCCTTTTGGACGACATTTTCAAGCTATTACGCTTATTCGTCCAGCCTATCTCTCTGAATTCGTGTCCTGCAGAAAAAATGTTTATCGAACCAACCGAGAATAACAATGCCTCATCTGGTTCTCCTTCCTCTACCACAGGGTTTGATCCGGGAATACCATGTGGCGAGGATAACCAGTCAGTTGAGCTGCCTCCTTTTCCCAAGTTCTTCAAGTAAGCGTATATAATTTACTTACTCTCCTTTTTCTAATTAAGGCCTATTCACCTAAATGGGTCATGTTATTTATATTTTAGCTTAGGTAGCCTAGTCTTCCGAGTATGTAGTAAATGTTTCGATCTTATAAAACTAATTCCTGAATCCTATCATTTATATATATTAAATGCAATTAATAGAGTTTTTTGAATAAATATTCTGCTTTAGTTGCAAAAATACCCTACAAAGACTTGTCTTTAAAAGAAGATAATTCATGCTGTGTGTATTGTTTGAAATAGCTAATAATATTCCATTATTGGAAAATAAAAGAACGAATATTTCCATGCCATTTACGTGTCCTAATGAATAATGATTTTTGTTTTGCGGCCAGAAAATCTCAGGGCTGGTAGGGTAACTGCTTGGAAGACTTTTATTTTTCCATTTTCTACTGTTTTTTATTATCAGGGAACCATCTGGAATTCACGACTAGCCTATTCTCGTTAAATTTCACCCTTTTAGCCTCACTTTTATGGACTCCGAATTCTTCAAAATCTCTTTTGTTGACGAGTTTTCTGTTCGATTTAGTCTAACTGTTGGCCAACCGCAATCCCATGATCTCGCCCTTTTGATTCGGGCCTACTTAGCTCTTGATCCTAGAGCTCGTAAAGTTGCCATTCTTTTCCGAAGATTCTGTAGAGTGAGTTTTTTTTAATTTATTTTTATTTTTGCTGGATTATATACTCAAGGGAGCTTGTTTAATGGCCTTTTTTGTCTGTCAAATTTAGATAGTTTTCATTATTTTTTTTAAGCTCTTCAACGAAATAGGGTAAATACCTCTCATAATTATTATCTAATTGTAATCTCGAAAGCTACTTGTAAACGAAATTTTAATACTAACATAGAAACAAATTTTGCTAGAGCTTTTTCTTTTATTTCAAGATCCTTTTTTTACAATCTGAATTTTTCTATCAAAAAGAATTTTTTTGGGTATTGAGGCTAAGATGGTTTGATCTATTGT